ATTTGTTGATTTTTCAAACTGTTAATGGATCTTTATGAAAAGCCAGAAGACCAATAATCCTGTTGCCAAATGTAAATTAAGGGAAAAATAGAAAGGACACTTTTGTATCTCTTGTACTTATACCGTGATTGATGTAATATACACGTAAGTTAACAATTGTTATCATCACTTGGTAAGCGAATGGCTCACATTTTTAAATCATCCGAAAAATCACTCCTCGAGCGTACATTGATTAAGGTTGTATGCATACAGGGACCTAGAAAGTTTGTATCTCGTTGGTATATTTAAAAAGACGTCCGGAGGTTATCGAAAGTAGTATAAACACAGTTATGTCTGTCCAACAACCTATTCGATTACGTAAGACGTTGAGTCTCGAAACTGCACGTTCCCCTTACTATTCACTAAGTTGGCAACACTAGCGCCGCTGATCAACGTTAGTGCCAATAAATCAACGTTCGCCATTTGGAATTTATTATCGACCTTTCTCGCCGACGAATGAAATGCTTTTTGCGCCAAAGAGGACGGTTCATTTTTGTAAATAGCTCGAAAGAAAAAGGAAATAAAGATTAAACTCGTTCGTTTGCTCAAGTATCAGAAACGAAAATACAGAAAGCTAAAGTGATTTCTGATGCTAGAACTCGTAAGACTTGTGACTTTTTATAACGAACATACACACATTGTATAGTCGACCCGATATTTTTCGATGTTGACCGTTTTAGAAGCTCGCTGTGCATAATTTTAAGAACTTCATCCAGCAATCTATTCGTTCGGTGTATATAATATATTTATGATTTCAGTTCAATGGGTAGCAATTATAGTGCTTCCAATAGAGTGCTGCGGTTATTTACTTTCCATCTAGCTCCTCGTTCATCCATATTTTCATTAATTGATATTTTATTCTTTGAGAATGTTTATGTTACACAGTGAATCAGTTTCTTTATTTATAACGCCGATAATTGCCATTCAAAACACCATTATCTCTTATCTTTCTTCGTTTCTTGTTCAGACTTTTCAGATTATTTTTATCAATATTTTAATTTCAAGAAGAAGTTTCTCTTAATCTAGTCTTTGATCATTTAAAAACTGTGAAATATCTGATAAACTATCAAAGAGTTTGACATAATGTAACTTCAAGCCACATTATATTCGAAAAATATAATATTAATTTGTTTAATTTTGACTACCCTTCCGCAACCCTAACTGTTAAAAGGATTGTTGATTATGTATTCTTTATTCCCTTAAGCACCTGTTACATCAAAATTCACTGTCGTTCGCTTCGTTCCTTACTATTAACCTAACTTCTCCACTTCTCGAAAATTTCATCAAATTCCTCTGACAGATACATTAATCTCCTTTTTCGATTTTCAGATATATTCCACTAAATCAAACCACCGATTTTCTCAAACTGCTATCATAGAAACAATTTTATCCAGTTCCTAAACCTGTCAGTAATTCATATATACTACTGCGTCATTCCTAACCTCTTAAAACTCCTATGAACAGCTTAAGAAAGCAATCTCCTTTCCAATTTTCAGCTATATTCCACGGAACCATCGACTTGCGTCAACGTTCCTCAACCCATGGATACAATCAACTGGACACGTGCAGTTTCTAAGACGAGCCCCCCTCGTGTCTGTATGTTCGCTTGTCTAACTGGCTTGCATGCTTGGTCGGCGTACAATGGCTGCTCGCAGAGGAAGCGTGTACAATGACGAGTGCGTGTGTGATCGTTTTAGGACGTAAGTTTCTTCTAGTTGCCAATACCCACGGATTCCAGTGGTTTGTAAATAACTAATGAAAATAAAAAAAAAAAAAAAGGAATACGAAGACAAAGGAAAGGACGAAGAAGAAAGGGACAGAAAAAAGAAGACGAGGAGGAACGAGGTTATCCTCAGTGGATGCAGAGAACGAAATAACGTTATCTCCCCTAATCATTCTCGAGGTGTATCACTAGTTTGTTACGTACTCTACGTGTGCAGTGTTGGTGGAATCGATATAGTGGCCTCGTAAAATTGGTCAGCCATTAAAGCTTACATCAATAATTTACATTAATAAGAATTTAGAGTGAAAATGTAACTCACAAATGGCTTTTGTAACCTATTCAGTGTATTATATTTTCAGAGACTTTAGGAATCAAAGATTCAATTGTCAAAAATTTAAAGACCCGAAATTTCCAAGATCCAATTTTTAAGGATTTACAAGTTCTTCCATAATACGGCCCTGAGTATGGCCACATTATCGTTTTAACTGCCTAATGATTTAATTTCTAATTGTACTGTTTCGACTCCATCAACTGTACATATTTGTTATCGCAGTACACGTATTTAATAGCGTGGCGGGCGCGTGCCGTGTCGCCGCCAATTATGAACACTTTGTCAATTAAATAAAACGATTGAATTTTACACATCATCGAATTATTGTTCTCACTTATTCCGACGAACAATCGATCTGATCGATCGAACCTAAACAAGAATTGTTATCTTTTGGGCAAAATGTTGGGGGGATTGAAAAATCGTCAGCGAAGGAAGAGGTTGACAGAGGGCGAAGGTTAAGGTTCAAGTGGTGTACATTTTTTTCGAGGAGAAAATAAAGTTCAAAAAGTTAGTCTGCAAATTCTAATTGATTTTTGATGGTTCGTAAATCTCTTTCTTTGAAATTTTAACGTTCACCCCTTATTGTTTAAGTACGCTATACCTGTTCTAGAATATAATATAAAAATTTAAATATCTAATTAAATGATTTAATTTATGTACTCGTTCAAGTCTAACCTTATTTAATTAAAAAGTCTAATAGCAAATTGTCAAGACAAAATTGAAGATTCCATTTATATGGGTAGAATATTTATCCAATCGAAATCAATAGAACATTTACTTTCTATTCTGAATTAATTTACTTTCAAATAGTTTTAGTATTAGCGATAGTTTAAATACGTCTTACGTAAATTATTGTTATAATTCTAAATTGAAAGAATAAGACATTCGCTCGAAAAGCAAAGAATATTTATTTGGAATCCCAGAATATATAAGTAAGACATTTATTTAGATTTCCTTAAAACTGGTAGGAACCTCTTTAATTAATGAAGGCAATTATTAGCAGAATGGCCGATGGTAGCCGCATTACTGCGGTATTCCGGAGATTAAACGAAATTCCGAACAGGCAGAATCGACGAGGGCGACCGTAATCGTTCTCCGCTCGTTGCATTCGACCCGCAGAAATTAGAAATCTGAACTTGCATCGATAGTAATACGTGCATTGTTTGCTAAATCGTTGCATTGTATCCACTAAATATACACAGCATCGGTGAATAGTTTCGATTCGAATAGACATAAATTGGCTTAATACTCGTATTCGGTGATAATTACCGCTAGACGAGGAACCTTATGATACAACTTGTTACCTCTGTATACGGACTACAGAGAAAAGAACACGATAACTCGTGTCTTTTTTATCTTGTAGGAGGACGATTTAAAAATTCAGCTGAATATTCAGAAAGCAATTTTTACATCGTTGTAGCAAAATCGTCCTTTTGTTTGATTTTTACTTCAGCTAAATATGCATTTTCATAATCAATCTACAAATAATTGTGGTCATAATATCAAAACTCGTATCTTTCTGTGAAATTTCATCGGCTTAGAAGCTGTTTTTAAGAGTCTTAGTTTTTGAACTTTTGGACCAAACTGATTTTGCCGCATTAAAATACTATTCTTTAACATCGTGACATCAAACGACATAAAATGACATTAAGGTCAGAAAATCAAGAAAATTACGCTTATCTTTGAATGAACATTTTAGTATACAATTGTTGATTAAAGACACGTTGTTGGTTTCGAAGTTTTAAAACCGTAGCATAATTGCGTATATTGTGCATATTGTAATTTTAATTACAATATTCGAAGTGGATGATAATACCCGCGAAATGCAATCGTATTTTCCGCCACTGAATATAAAAATTAATATTTCAATCGTTATATATATGTTTTTATAATCGTGTCGACGAATTCATCCATAATTCACGTTGCGATGAAGAACAAAAAAAAAGGAATAATCGATCGAGATATGAGGATTTATTTCCAGACTTGATTCCCTGGTGATTCGTGGATTAAACGAACTTCATTAAAATGCCAGAAGCTTCCAGAGAAAGTTGGTCAGAATCCTTCCTATGGGTTTAATCACTCGATTAACATCGATGCGAAATATCCTCTTTCGTCGTTAATTAATAATTCAATGCACTGTTTGCCTCTTACGATGATCAAAGGGAAATTTCATTTCTGGATTATATTACAAACGAATAATGTGATAAATTTTAAGAAGAACAACATAAATTTGTAATTTATTTCATTTTCTAGCCTGCCGGCTATAAAAAAGGACAATCGATATTAATTTGTATATTAAAGCTGTAAAGGGGGCTTTGTAAAGAAACTTTTTTATCAGTATATAACATCAAAAGAATTAAAGAAAACAACATGATGAAAGCTTGCAAATTTTTTCAATCTTTTCCAAAATGCATAAAATATAATGGGTATAAAAATAAAGATATTTAGTGGAACTTAACAATACATGAGAGAGAGAGAGAGAGAGAGAGAGAGCTTATTTCCATTACATGACGACAAATCGTCGAATATTTTACTATCATCTTCTGTTATCATATAGAACGCCAAGAAATCAAGGAAAAGAAGACTACGAATTAAGGAAAGCCTCAAACTTCCAATTAACAAATGTTCAATTTTCTTTTCCCCAAACAAATGCTCTGCTAAATTGCTCAATTCCCGTAAAGATGAAGAAACATAGAGGACCTTAACGAAAAGTAAAAGAAATTTTTCAACTCGTTTCAACAAAAATTTCGAAAACAAAAATACCGAGACATTACGTCGTAACTGAAGAGTTCTTCCAAAAAGAAAACGGGGAAATTCGAAATCGATAACAACGGAGGGAAGAAAATTCTTTAAAGGAGGAATGGAACGAGTTCATAGAGGGGAGAAGGTATCTGTTCAGAACGAAACATCGTTTCACCAGCTTTATTACCCGTTCGTGTGTCAGCGAAAATTCTATGGACCGCTTTACATGTAGAACAATCTTCTATAAATTCTCTACGAACAATATTTCTCGCAGTTGTGTGTTACACGCAGAATCGACTCGTAGTTTTGTTGTTTGTAAAACCTTCTGGTAATATTAAAGGAAGGTTAGGTCTGACATCGCCGAGGGTAGCTGGTTACCGGCTAGAGATAGGTTAGGTCAGATCGCGTGAGTTCCATGGAGTCGCAGCTGAAGATCCTCGAAGATCATTTGCAGACAGTTCGATCGACGTCGCTTTCACGACCAAGTCTTGGCGTGTAACCACTCGGTTGAATGTTTCGAGAATCTGAAATTAGTCGACAATGAAGACACAAATAGTCGTTGACTATATAGTTCTATGCAAATAGTCCGATCATTGATGTCGAGGATCAACAGATTTCCTATTGTTGAAGAACAAACCTCGGATTTCAGGCTTGGTTATATTAACTGAGCAGATTGTTCTATAGGAAGAAGTATTTTTTCATTTTATTTAATCACGTAATACTTCAATTTAACGAAGTTTCTTTATTTTTTCTTTTGTGTAAATTTCTTTAAATTTGATGCGAATGTTCAACTCTTAAAGGTCATTGGTGAAATCTCAGTCTATGAAAATTTTGTTTTAACATTATCATCCCGTGATAATATAATCTATAAATGACAACTTCCCTAGTTTTTGTTTATTACTAAATAACGACAAACCGATTAATTCCATTTTTTACATTTTTGAAAACTACGGAAATAAAATTTCACTCGAGATAATAGGATTAACGTGATTTTCTTTCACAGTGTTTAAGGAGCTAAAGCAACTGATTGATCTTACATTTTAATTGCTACAGATGAGAAGAAAGATTGAGTATTCGATTAGATTATAGAATGTGATCGAATATATGATACGTAGAGCGTTTTGGATACTTGAATTCTGTGCTTTTTCGCAATTTTTAATTTCCCATAAATGAAATTCGCGATAAAACGACGATTTCTGTACGACGAGGATTGCAATTTTGGACTTTCAAATTTTCTATAAATGCGTAGAAATCTGAATTTTCTTGCAGTATGGCAATTCGTCCCAAAAATCGTCTATTAATATTAGCTCACAGAGTATCACAGGTGTAACATCTTCTCATCGAGTTTTTACGCTCACCCCGTATAAATAACGCATTAACAGCGTTTTATTCTTTGGAAATCTGGCATGCACGTTTACGAACGCGTTATCCTGTGCCATTGACAGCGAGACAGAGAGGTGGAGTGAAATAGTATCAGTACGAGGGGAAAAATTAAATTGGCATTTGGGCCGCGCATCAACAGAACATTCGCGACGAATGCTCGAGCTTTTGTTCCCGGATCACGTATCAATGGGATTGGAATTTTCGCGCGGCTATATCGAAATAGCGAAACGTTCCCACACTGGCAACGTTTCTACAGCGAAACCCGAAAAAAAGAATTCGAATCACGATCGAATGCTTCAAGCATAACCGACCGACTGTACACGACGAAACGGTGATAAATCGATGGGCAGTTTATATGGCACGAAATAAAGTGTGAACGAGTGGCCTGGGTTATAGAAACACTCTTCTGTTGTCAGCCTCTTTGAGTCGATGGATGAGGCGCCTTGTTAACTGTTATCGGATATTTATAATTAAACTGTGATATTTATACAGCAAGAGTTATACAGAATGTAACAGCGATAAGTCAATGGATAGATCACACGAAGAATATGCGAAGTGGAAGAATGGTTGTGATCGAAAATCGTTTATGCACAATTTGTATTTGATTCTTTGGAAATCAAACAATTGATCTCAACCCTGTTGCGATTCTCGAATTTTTATAATTCAATGGTGTTCTTTAAGGTTCAAGGATATATCTGGCATTAAATTGCATTGAGAAATTATTAAAAAATACATTACGATAGCAATCTTTTCATTCTGCTCAAACTTGAGATATTTTTTTAACGTTAGAAGAATACAATTGCGTTGAAAACATTGGAGAGAACGCTGCAGGGTTAACGAAGTTGGTCAATTTGTTTACTGTGTAACTCGATCAAAGATCGATTGGTACAAACCCTAAAAATTTTCTAACGTAAAGAAGGTTATCTCATACCTTGAGTGAGTAGCAACGAGCCGGGATAAACGAATCTTCCATCGTCGATCTTTTGCCAAAGTTGATAATCTTTGGGTGAACGGATACGATCTGAAATCAACCATGATGCTTCCTTTGGAAATTTGTCTGCGTGTTTAAGGTTCATCGATCTCCCAAGGGATCCGGGAGCTGTATTGCGAACGTCTGCAAATTGTATGGTAATTTATGCGATTACGCTAGCTCGAGGTGTGTTTCTATCCTTTGAATTAGACTTTAGGGAAGGAAATTTCAATTTCCCAAAGTTGTGCACAGATCGTTTTACTCACAACTACAATCAATTCTCTCGTAAGATAAACTCTTCAAATTGATAAACGATAAGCACCTGGATTCTTGCTATTAGCCAAACATATCATATTTACAAGATTCTAGAGAATTAGCGTATAGAAAAAACATAGTTTAACATGAACAGCTGATTGTTTATAGTGCAACAAATTCATCTAACACAATAGTAAAGCTAGGATTGACTAAATTTAATTATTGACCTGTAACGAATTTTAATATTTAGCGAAATTAGTAAATCCATAACGCGTGGTCACAGTGTATTAACATCGGCATATTCGATACAGTTATAGATATAGGACACGTGAATTTTGGTTATTGATCGAAACTATCGTATCTACAAATTTGAATCACGTAAGTGGAATTGTACGGCGGAGAGAACGAACGAGACACACCGAGATCAAGTAGAATAAACTTAGTGTGACAGACTATAAAGTATTCGCGTAAAGTCTACGTACGCCATAGACGTATACTGAAAATGTTAAATATTAACATGACGTAGGAATCGTGAAGCTCAATGTAATCTACCTTACTACAATATTGTTCGATATAATTTGGATATCGGTGCTATAAAAGAAATAAATCTTACTGCAAGCAAATGGAAGCTGAAACGATATAAACTCGTTCCGATAGAGACTCGTTTTACTTACTAAAAATTATAACGAGTATTCTGCCTTGGATATTTTATATACAGTGGCGAATAAAAGAAAGTGTAAAATTGATATACTATGAACTTTAGTAACTTTCGTATAATACTAAAGATTTTATAGTTACTCTTTGCCCTAATTAAATATAAATCCATTTTGCACAATTATTGTATGTCCTTACACGTTTTATTTTATAAACTTTCTTTTGCATATAATATACATTCTGTCTATTTTCCATCCCTAAGTTTCACACAAATGCATAAAAATGTCAGCCATAATTATTTCCAATTTCTCGCTGCAAATTTGCCAATTTTCGATCGATAACTAAAGTTCTTTACGATTGTATCCTAATCGCAAAAAAAAAAGAAAATAGATCTGTCACGTTATTTCTTCGAAACATCAGTTTCGTATCTCCGCACATGGAATGAAGCGACCTCTGTAAAAAATGGCTGTTATGAAAGATCTGTCGGACGGGCGAAACGATACAACGATTCGTCATTTTGTTTTAGGTGGTCGAAATTGCACGTAGAAGAATAGAAGAACGAGGAGCCGGTTGCCACGCTCTAAGTGGAACGTTCTGCACGCAAAATGGCGCGGGCTATTGGCCATCTTTCACCGGGCAAGATAAATTACACGTAAAATGGGATTGCGGGATGGCATGCGAATGCACGTTTCAATGTTATTGGCGATACTTCACCTTCGTAATCTTTGTCGGAGACGGAGTCAAACTCGGGGCTGTAAAATTGGAAATCTGTGTCTGGTTCGTTGGCGTGGCGACGGTTGAAATTTAGGTTAGGAATCGGCACGTCGGATCGACCGATCCTCGGATATGCCATCAGACCAGAAGCTCGCCTGTCATTCAACTTTAACTTTTCTCCCTCTGAAATATATTACGTAACAGATGACGGAAATTGAAATGCTCGATAAGCATTTAAGAATTAAGGCGGCAAACAAAATTGAATAAAAATTTACACTGGCGCACGAAATTATTCCAACTCTTACCACAGAATCTTCCTACAAATAATCAAATTTGAAATTAATCTGAAAATGTATTGATGTAATGAAACAGATATTTAGAGTAGACGATTAATATAAAGCTTGAAAAATCATTTGAAGTATAATGTAATGAATGTTAAAGATGGTCCCGATGAATATTAACATTTATCAATATAGCGAGTAATTGTTCAAATACTTTTGTGATCTCCGCGAAGTACGTATTATATAATATACCTGTGCTAATGAAACTTCGAAATGTTTCGTATGACGACGTAATACGATCTTAGAAGCTATGTACATGTGTTCGAATACTTTCGTGAACCTGTATATATGTGTAGGTTAAAATGGTTAAATACGAGAATCGAAGAAAAATTGAAAATAATATTATGCAACTTGTATTAGGACAAATAGAAGCATATATTTTTAATGGAAGTAATTAATGTGACATTTGTTTTTCATTTAATGAATAGACATCCAATTAGTTGATGTATCTTACGAATATTTCTGCTTCATTGCATAATAAATTTTTACAAGCGGGCGTGTTTCAGTTTTTTTTTTTGGTGAATGCGTCAGAGGATTCAGTTTTCCTCTTTTAGGGTAACATGATCTCTCTCTCTCTCTTTTTTTTAGGTTAATTAGAAATGAAAAGGACGGGAAGGTTAAGATAGTAGGAAGCGTTGCTGGTATAAAAATGTTCAGAGTCGTGTAATGTTTGGATTCAAAGAAATTTCGACCAAGCTGGCAAAAGGTTAATTAAAAATAACGACTAAATTAAATGAAATATCCTGCGTAGTTTATGCTTAAACAAGCAAGCAGAGCGTCAGTTACGAACTATATTTACATATCTAGTGCAATTTGTTTATGCATTGATGCCGTTTTCGTATTATGGACATTGTTATCACGATGAAATAGTATCAAGAATAGAAAAGTTGATTTTCGTCACTAAACTCTAAAACCAATAAGAGTACGCTATTATTGAAAACAGAAAAATGTGTTTCCATTACTAAATTTTAGGTAAATTGATAGAAAAATTGATTAGTACGACTAAATTTAATAAAGCGACGACAGGAAATTGGTATCAGAGATAGACACGTTTAATTGCATTATCGAATTCTACACGCAACGAGACTGTTTAAGTGAATCGTCAAGTTTTCAAGTGTCTGAAGAGAAAGTTGAAAAGAATTAAAAAAAATTATGATACTCATGAGAATGTCTTGCCTTTGGTAGACTGCAACCGCCGACCTTGCCCACATTGGGAGACTAAAAAACAAATTGAATTACAAACAAAAAATTCTTTTCAAAGAAACTTAAGCTTGAAACGTTACTTAAGTCGTCAACGATCCAGTTTAAGTAAGAGAAAAGTAAGAAGTCAAGAAGCGTAAAAACGCTACAGACAAATAAGAAAAAGTAGGAAACTGAAAGACGAAGAAGAATAATGGCAATGTCTTATGGCGAACCCCATCGATGGCGCGAAACCAGGGATCCTTTGCACAATTGTACTAATGAAATTTTACAAATCACGAGTCACTGATATAACTAACTATCACTAACTAATGACTAAATTGATATAACTAATATCACTAACAAGTTTCATAGTCAAAGAACAGATGAAACTTTCGATGAAAGAAAATTTTGCAAGAAATTACTACGTTGTTACCACAGGTTAACTATTTATTTCTGGGCTGTAGGTTCTAAGTCTTATTTTCTATTGTTTAAATTAAAACAGTTGATCGTAACGAAACGTAAAATTTATCATAGAATTGCAAAATCAAAGTTCATAATCTACTACATAACCACAATTTATCAATTTATCGATGTTAGCAATTTACTCATATCGTTAATGTCATTCTATTTTCAAAATTAATAATGCAAAATCAAAGACTGTGACTTACGAAACGTAACTCTTCAATTTACCAACATCACCGATATCATTGCAGTTTATTTTGCCATTATTATTTATCGATGTCGTCAATCGACAGAAACGATTGTGCAAGAGAACCCCAGAAAATACTAGAAGCATCCCCTTCCGGTCCACTCGGAGGCCGGAAGGGGCACTACACTTACGGTTGAAAGAGGTGGAAAATATTAGAACGACCAGGAATACAAATAGGTGATTTCTCATTGCGATGGCGATCGTTCGGTCACACGGTGATCAGAATCCGATGAAGCGATACTGAGCAGAGCACGGTATCTCGCTCGACACTGAATGCCCCCAGGTATCCGACGTCTGATTTTATACCTTGCGCCTCGTCCGACTACGGGGGTTGCCAGCCCAACCCCCGGTCGCCTTCTCAACCCTCTCTTTCCACATTGCCTCGTTCCATTCGCCCCTCTACGCGATCGGTATGGTGATTCGACGCCTCGTTTCTTCATTCTGCTGATACATTCGGCCTACCACTGTTCGTAGGTATTAGGACACCTACTGGCTTCATAAAACGTGAGGATACTCCGATGGCCGGACAAAAGAGTATAAGTCAAATTTTAATGAAAACAGGACAAGTAGGCTAATATATATTGCACATTGCTACCTTTTGTCTGTACCCGTGCTGGTTAAACGGGTGCCGCTGCATAAAATAATATTATTTTGCATTTTTGATTATACACTCAAATCTGGTTGTTTGAGTGTTAATTAGACGTCGAAGATTTTCCTGTTATAAATTCTTACGTAATACATATCGACGATTTACTGTATATTAGCGCATATTGTGTGTCGGTTACTAGCGAAATTTGAGCTTTTACATGCAATAAATAGTTCTTGACTATTTCTTTATACTGCTGTCTATCCTTAACCCTAATATTTTAGTGTATATGATGTTATGTTATAAATGTACATATAATTATAAATATGCTATTGTAATACTATAGGTCAAAAATGGAATTCTCAGGATAAGATAGATAAGACGGAGGAGGTTTTATCCAATCGATAAAAATGCCATCGTAATTAATTCTAAGGATGATATTTGAAACCAGTTAATAGTTCGACGAATCGTTTATTTTAACATTCTTAATACTCTGCAATCGAATTTCGCCACTATGGGGCGATTTAAAATTGTATTTCCCATGCCGGGAATTAAAAATTGCCGAAGTTACGATATTAAACGAGTAAAATTCATACGTACAATTGAAATTTCCTGCAAAGGAGTATCGCAGATGAAATATTACCTGAACGATTGTTAATGATAAAAAAACATTTTTATTAATAATACAAAAACATTTCCGAAGCATGCTCTTGTAAACAAGAACAAACAAATGAAATTTCTCATTTAGTTAATTAATAACTAAAAATACATCGTAATGTACGCGCACCATTGAGAGTCAAAGGCTCGGGCAAATTCATCGAATTCCCTTCTACCACCACGATGTTCAAAAACCGAATTCAATATGGTAAATTGATCGAGAAAAAAAAGGATTCCAAAATGAAATACTGCGTTAACGCAACGTTGGACCTTAATGGGTCAGCGTTCGAAATCGTTGAGGTTAGGGTGTTGTATTTTGGGGGGGATGATAGAGACTTGGAAGGATTTCCAGAGATTTTCTGGGATTTTAACCTGATTCGTTGGTGAAGGAGAAAGGTTGGTTGTGAAATATTGACGAAGGTAGGATAGAGTTTATGGATTTCGATGGAGAACTTGGATTTGGGAAACGGCCTACATGTACAGTGGGAAATAAAGTGATACGGAGAAAACGCTATAATTTTTCAGAATGAAATTATATAGTCTTACAGCGCTTCGACAATACAAAAGTAAATTAAATTTTATCACTGCAATTATCAGAGTAATGAAAATGATCAATATGTAACTTTTTCAAGAAATTTTACGAATCTGCAATGATGCATTTTTGGAGATTTTTTTTTTAAATAAATATTTTAAACGTATGAAACACGTTTAAATATCAAATAAACATGAAATGTACAAAAAGAGTGGCATTAAAATCTCCCTAATGAGAGTCACGGATAAATGCAAATAGCCGTATAATACGCAATAAAAGGGTGCGTTGAAATTCATGTAAACAGACGGAACTGCGATTAATGTTGACCAAATCGTTCGATGTTTCGCCATAAATCCCATTTTGCAATTGGCAGAAACCGCTTGTGCAACTCTCTGTATTTAATGCAGCGACAGATGATCGTTATTCGTGATATAGAAATTACAGAGTTAGCCACGCATTGATTTTTCACCTGAATTACGGTAGACCAACAGAATTTTTTTCCAACTGGTTTAAACCAGACAAAGCAATTGGATAAAAAAGTGTGATTGATAAAAGTTATTACTTTCGCTGGCAAATAAAATTATTTGCAAGTTCTCAATTTTTAGAAGGCAAAGAATACTTTTTTGAACGTTTAAAATAACAGTAGATATTGTCAATTTGATTTCTCTGCTTAATACAAATTTATTTGATCAAATGTCATGTTTAAAATTACGCTCGAAATTCTAACAGAATTTTCAGAATTTTGTTTTTTTTGTTTTTATTTAATTGTTTACATTCACAATTTGTCCAGTTTGGACATTTGGTAAAATTGTTTAGCTGTTAGATTATCATGTGGGTAGCTACCCCCAGTGGGATATCATCTTCGTGTTTGTTAGGTTGAGTCCTTTGTGAGGTCTGCTGGGTGTTTCCTTTTCAGTCTTCTATCCATGTTTGAGGTGTTGTTCGTTTCCACAGCTAGCCGGTTTGGGTATGTTCCTATTCTTTCTTTATATTTTCCTGCGTGTCTGCTAATTTCCTCTTTGACCGTTGGTATTCCCAGGTCCTTCCGTATATCCTTGTTTCTAACGTACCATGGGGAGTTTACTATTGTTCTAAGAATTTTAGCTTGTACTGTCTCTAAGAATTTGAAGTTGACTTTAATTTCATGTTTCTGTATTCTATGGACCACTTGATAATTCCTACTTTGATTCCAACTGTTACGTCGAGCGACACTCTACCTAGACCAAGCCACACATCGCGGGCCAGACGGGAACCAGATGTTCGCTCATCCTTACTCCGTACCCTCAATAGTCTTAAGGACGCATCATAAATCCCAGTAATTTGCTAGCTAAGGTCCTTCAGGCCGAACAAATATCTTTGTTTCTAAATCGCTTTCTAAAGAGTATTGTCTACTACAGCTTGACACGGGAAAGTTAGTTTTTCTTACGTACGATGATTCCCATTAGCAACTTTCTATCGAGGGCGGCTAAGACCCTTCCTCTAGTCCACCAACCTTCTTTTATCCATTCAGAAGCAAAGTATACTGCCCTCACTTTCCCAACCAAAAATTTTTTTTTTTAATATTTATTAAAATTACAATCAATTCTCGCGTTGAGAATTTTCAGTAATGCTAACCAAAAAGAAAATGTCATGAACAAATCCAATGGTCCCTTGCGTTAGACACACCCATCGCTAGCTTTCCTCCGACACAGCATCGTCACTGTACTTTACTTATTCTATAACGTTAGAATAGTCAACAAGTCATTATCAGGTTACTCTCCTTAAATCAATCATTTACTTAACGTATACATACTCAACAGTGTACCTCATAAGTGTTGGAAATATAAACTTTATAACCCTGTTAATCGCAGCGTTATACTATCTCAACCACCCCCATTATCTTAACGGAAATCAGGGGATCGATCTATTCGCGGCATCGATTGTATCGGGAATAATCGCGGCATAATCGTAACGGGAATTTACGACTCCCAGTGACGTGTTTCCTCGCGATTGCGTCTCCCCGCGCTTCGAAAATACACCAACCTTTGATTAAAAATATACCCAAAATACAATGATTCTAAATGGATATTTTTTTAATCCTGAAACTCCATAAAACAAATTGTGACATCGGATTGTTCTTCGACATTATATATTTATATTATACGTAAAATTTTACGATACAAAAATAGATTTTGAACAAGAAATATCTGTTAACACGTAACGTAAGTTATAAAGCTTGAAGCAAGCAAAAGTAAACGTATTAATCTATTAATAATAGTAATACAATTAACGAATAAGCGAAAGATTTTTTTTTTCAAAAAGTTGAGAGTTTTCACAAGAGTACAAGAAATGAATCGAGCGATAGAAGTGCACGTACAGTTATAACAGAATACATACGAGGACAACGCGAAAATTGAAACCAGTTTAATTAAGTCAGCACGCGATTACATATTTAAAATTTGCGGTCGCGATTTCCATAACGTAGCCGGCTGAATTAGCTATGTCTGTCCCTTGACGATATGCACGAATGTCGTTCTTATTTTTTAAAGTAATTAAACCGCGGTAATTCTCATTCACGATAGTGTTTCCCATTATGTGAAACGAAACGGGCAAACAATTTCACGAACTGTTTCAATAGCGGGTCAAATTTGCCTTCCGCCATTTCCCAGCTACTTGAAATTCGTCCACCTGCCGTTCGTATTCTCCTTCATTTGCTCGCCAAGCAAAGAATTAATAACAATCTTCCTCGTGCGTTATCGAACGAACATTTTAGAATTATTTTTCTTGTTGCAACTGTACGTTGTCTTATGTCAATTTTAATATTAATTGGAAATTCATTTTAGACATATCAATAATAATTTTCATCGTTTCTAAGTCTAAGTCTAAGCAGTGAATAAAAGTGTTAATTTTCACGAAGAAAGAATCGAAGAAGTGTAACATTAGCAACGTGAAAATCACTGCAAAATATATACCGAGTGTCGAATATTTCAAAACGCAAGACAACAGCACAACATTCTAAGCAACTTTAAGAAAATAAAGAAAGAAGATAAAGAAGAAGGAAGAAATAAAGCGGCTCTTACACGCAAAAAAACACAAACATTTGGCAACAAATGTAGCCGCAGGGAAGTAAATAATACAATGTAAGTATCGTAGAATCACAATTTTTGCATTCCAACATTTTAAAATTGATACAAATATCGTCAATCTGTTTTTATCCTGTAGCGAACAAAATTGTATTTCCTACATTTTTAAAGCTATTAAGAAAGCCAATATAGCATATGATATTTATACGGAATTTTTTCGTAAAAACGGATTTTTGATCAAAAGCGTGTAACGAACGAATGAATTAAAAAATGTTCGAGTGTATGATTTTCATGAAAAATAAAAACAATAACAAGCTAATTTAATATTTTGTAAGCTTATTAAATACCCGACTTTAAATAAATAAATTTAAAAGAAAGAACATTTTCATTCGTGCAGTGAAAAAAACTAATTGTAGATAATAAAGAGAAAGGAGGGGATAATGGTGCTGCGAAAATAAAATCGGAACGCCGGTACTCCCTCCAACTGTTTCCTTTACTAGGAACTAACTTTTTCACGCACATTATGTTCGCAAACTTTTTCTTCTTTCCAATAAGATAATTCAACCAGTGTCGGATGCTACACCTGAGGCGGATCATTTGCATAATCTCTAAAATATTGAATATTTACATGCTTATTATTACTA